CACCTAAGACAGGGGCTATATAATATGAGGAAATGAAAACAAAGATAATTAAACCATTTCATCTGTTTCTAATACAGTGAATTTTAAATAAGCCCCAGGGTTTAATAGAGCTTAGGAACATGATACGCTTCTAGATCCTCTGGTCCACGGTGGTGTAAAAAAGAGTAGGAAATATGCCAGCCCCTGTAAACTTCTCAGTGACATACTGCTTGCTGGGTCTTAGAGCTAGAACAGATACAAAACCCCTCTAAACACATCTTTGTCTCCCACTGATGAGCTGAGGTCCTGCCTCCCAGGACACATCCAGGCACAGAGGCTTCTGCTCCTCTCCAGAGCCCACCTTGGGTTCCCCTCTTGCACTGGAGAACCAGAACTTTGGAATAAAGTCGCCACCTGGATCCAAAATAGGATTCGCACGATTCCTGTGATGGGTTTATTAAACCGACCCTTAAGCCACTGTTTCACAAAAGTAGAAATAAAATTTGCTTAAGCTGATTATTTTTATGTGAATTTTCAAAACATTTCTAAACAGAATGGACTTACTATGTTCATTTTGGAAAACAGAATAAGCTGTCATATCCTCCCCTGCAAAATAACCGCAGGTAACTTTCCAGGACCCTTTCTACACATCCATGTACTTTTCCTTTCACAAACATACCATCATCACTTATATTCGGATTGCAATGAGCTTTTTATAAAAGTTAACCGAAATCTTCCCCATCACAATGTATTACAGTAACATTGTTAAAAGATTAAAAAATTCAAATGGATGATTATACCTTAATAGAAGGAATCTGGTAGACATATGTACTGTTTCCATTGTACTTTGCTTTTTAAATATATTGTAATAGACATCCTTAAATATTTCCTAGAAGTGGAATTCCTTAAAATTTGCCAATTTGCCAAACAGCAAAGTTTCCATTCATCCATTTAACACATGAGAACTGACTCTTATGCCAGGCACTACTCTGGGACTTGTGATTCAAAAGTTGAAAAGAAAGAAGATAAAACCTCTCCCCTGTGGTTCCTACACAGTTGTAGGAGAGAGGGGTCATTTCTCCAAGCTCATAAGATTGTAGGGGCTTTCAAAATCTTTGCTGTTTTGGTAGGGGGGGATAAACTAGCTATTGCTGACATTGGTTATTTTTATAATTGCTTGCTAGTTATTTATATTTAATGATAACTTTTTTTCATTAATTGCCTATGCCAACCAGCACCTATACATGCTAGTGTGGGGCAATAATGTTGACGGGAAAGAAGAATTATTTACAAATTTTATGGCCAGTTTTGAGTATTTTTTATGGAAATTTAGGCCTTTTAATATCAACCTTGAAAACAAATAACGTACAAATTTCCTTTTTGAAAATTCCCCAAATTGAAGGATCTAAAAGATATAAAGATTGGCTGTTAGCCATGTAACTGGGGGAAAAAACCACTCTGTTTGACGTTTTTCAGTTGTGTACATACACTTAAAAGAATTGACCTTTCGAAGTTAGAAATCTATTACTTAGGAATACCCGTCAGCCTCTTACAAAACTGCTCCCCTACAGAACAGGCCATCTTAAAATCACAACTGCATTTTCATTTTAGTTAGAACTTATCATCTCTCTCTTTCATAGAATAGAAAGGCTCTGGGAGAAAACAATTCTCTAGGAAATATTCTTCCCAGAGTCCTGACCACCAGACTTGAAAAATGCTACCTAGTTATTTGCAATTTAGCACTCATTTTGCACATGTTGGTGGTGAGGCTTCCTTCTCCCAAACCCCGCGGCTCTTGTTGGTCCCTGGTCAGGGATGGAGAGGCGAGGGCTGTTTCTGACAGTGTCGGTTTGCCCAGGGTGGTGAGCTCTTCCCAGTTCTGCATCCAGAGCTCGGGTTTCACCAGCAGCCCCATGAGTGTGGGGGGATCTGCAGCAGACTTCTCAGGGCAAGCGCTGTGACTGAGACATTCCCCATCTTCTCTGACGTTTCCTCTAAACAAGCTGCTGAATTTAAAGTGCTTAGCAATGCACTGCAAGACCCCCTGGATGGCTCCGCACAGCTACAGGCCTTTCCTGTGCCTTCATGCTAGCTCACATTGGGAGCTTCCTGTGTGCCAGGAACAAGATGGCTGGGACAATCTCACTGATGTTCTCTAAGGCGGAGCTGTTATTCCCCGCCCCCCCCCCCCATTTTACACATAAGAGGAGGAAACCTTGGAGCAGTCATAATTTATCTAAGATTATCTAGTTAATAAGTAACTACCTTAGAATTCTGACACATAACTCTTTTTGCCTCTGACGTTTTTTGTGGGCTGCCTCTTTGTATAACGCCACAAAAAAAAGACCAAAATGTTCTCTCAGTAACCAGCAGCTTCTTTGATTTTCCTGAGCCCCTGTATCTCTCCCTGTAGGCCACAGTACAGACCCCCAGTGATCTTACTGACAGCCCAGAGATACCCTAGGACGGATTGCATCTCCACACCGTGATGAAAAGAACCCGTTGGAAAACCTGTAGTGGCAATTTAGTTTAAAAAGCTGGTCTTAAAGGTCTTTTACTAGTGTTAAGAGCTGAAATGTTCTCCCACCAAACCAAATTCTCAAGTTGAGGTCCTAATGCCTAATACCTCAGAATGTGACCGTGTTTGTAGGTAGGGCCTTTAAAGAGGTAATGAAGGCACAATCAGTTCTTATGGGCGGGCCCTAATCCCATGTGACCGGTGTCCTCACAAGAAGAGGAGATGAGGACACAGACACACACACAGGAAAGACCATGTGAAAACTCAGAGAGAAGGTAGCCATCTACAAGACAAGGAGAGAGGCCCTCAGAAGAAATCAACCACGCAAATACCCTGATTGTGGACTTTTGGCCTCCAGAATAGTGAGAAAATGAATTTCTGTTGCATAAGCCACCCAGTCTGTGGTACTCTGTCCTGGCAGCCCCAGCAAACTGATCCAAAGGGAGCTGGTAATTACTAGTATCTGAAATGAAGAGCTTTCCAGATTATTCAAAGTTCCCTTTTAAAAATCAAAACTCTAAATCAGAAAAACAAATTGTTACACAAGTTAAATCCAGGAAGAAGAATTTCAAGGGATTTCACAAATTATTTTATCATATCGGAAGTTTATTGCCCCAAAGGGAACTTGACTAGGAGAATCAGTGACTGGGGCCTTGACGCCCTAAATTATTCCGTTTAGCTTGATGGTGCTTCTGGTGTTTGATCTGAGGGCAAATCGGAGATGTCTTGGGGATTTCTTCACACAGCTCATTGAATACACTTATGGAAAGAATGAAATTTGCAGATTCTCACTCACTCTGCTGTGCACGGACAAATGCAGTAGCCCTGAGAAATGCCAGCAATGGCTGCTGTTAAAATCAGAGAAAAATATGTGCAGGACTAACAAAAAGAGAAATCCCAACACAGAGAAAACTGAAGAATGATATAAACCTGTCCAAAGACATTAAAAAGGATTGTCTCGAACAGAAGTCCCTTTGACTTTCAATTCAATAAGTATTTTTGAAATGTATGCATGGTAATATGGGGGAAATTAGAATTTAGAAATTAACCCTGACTCAGACCTCAAATATTTCTTGACATGAGATGAGAAAAAAAGACACAGATTGAATAGCCATAATGTCATGTAGTCTTTGATAAAATCTGTAATGGAAATTAAAAATGTAATGAAATCACAGAGGACAGAGAAGGTCATTGGACAAGCTGGGGCACTGGACAAGACCCACTGGGAGTTACGGTTTTTTCTTTGGGGTCTGAGCTTATGCAGCGTTTACACAGGTGGGGTTGCTGAGGGAGGAGCTTGCTAGGCAGGCGGATTAGCACAAGGGAAAACAGATGTTGTGGAGTGCAAATCATGTTCAGCAAAAAAGTAGGAGTCTGACCTGCTTACCTGAAGGGAAGCATTGGGAGGATGGGGCCATTGAACCTGCACTTGGAGTCAAAGGGCCTAGGTTTGAGTCCTGTGTTCCTCATTTACCAGATTTATGAACCTCAAATTGCTCCCTGAGCCTTCTGAGCCTCAGTTTGCTCCTCTGTGAAATGGAAATAATGACTCAAACCTCACCACTATGATTAAAAAGGAGTGCCCTGTGTGAAGTCTCCACCTAGCAGAGTCTGATATGCAATAAAAATTCTGCAAATGTTGGCTCAACCTCAATCACGTGAGCTTGACTGTACAGAAAAAATGGAGACCCAATAAGGTTTTCGAGCATGAAGGTGAGAGGACCGGAAGTAGGCATTGGGAAATTTATCCCAGTAGTGCCATGTGTACAGCATGACTTCGAGGGCAGCCTTTCCCACAGTTTTGGGGTGATAGGAGCCTGAAGCAGAGCTGCTTCACGGGGCAGTGGGAGGGTTTTGAAGGAGGTGATGAGTAAGAGTCTTCCAGGGCAAATGGTGCTGGGGTTTGCTCCCTAGGACATAGTCAGAGGCTCAGGGTCCAGCCCTCTGGCTCTTTTCTCAAATAGTGGCATGACTTCTACTGAGCTATCCAGCCTCTGTGAATTCTCAGTTTTCTCATCTATGAAATGAAGAGGTGGGAAAAAATATCTAAGTATTCTTAAACACTAAGATACCTCATGCTTATTTGTTTTTTGTTTTGAGTTTCTTTTTTTTTTTCTTTTTTTTTTTTTTTTTACTGTTATGTTAGTCATTGTACAGTCCCTGATTCAGGCCTATCTGAATCAATAAAATCTGTTAAGCTCATTAGATGGGAAAGCAAACTACCTAAGGGAAGTGGAGAAACCCAAGAGAGCCTAAAGCAAAAAGCTTTAAACATGAGTGAGCAGGTCAGTGGCTGATAAAATTATGAGGAATATGGAAGAGAGGAAAATGAACAGGTTTGGGGGAGATTATGATTAACATCATTTCTAACAGCTGAAAGGGCTTTCTTCCAAAGAATTAGACTTGTGGCTTTAGGAGTATTCAACAAATGACTTACTTTGTATTGTCTCTCATACCATGTAAACATCAGATCTGAAAGCAAATGTTTTCCTCTAATTCGTAGATTCTTTTCATTGGAGATTCAACCAACAGAGGGATAATGTACTACCTGATCGAAAGACTGAATGAAACCCTGCAGGAATGGCAGAAGGTGCATGGGACGAAATTCTATCACAACGTCAACGGTGGGAAGACTTTGATCAGTTACTCCTACTATCCCCAGTTCTGGATAAGCCCTTCATTGAGACCAACATTTGAGAAAGCGCTCGAACATCTCTTGCAAAGGTACAATGGAACTATTATGGACGGCACAGTGCCACAATGGACCGATGTTTCGCTGGCGGTCGTAATTGTTCCCTGTATATCAAATGTGCTGAAAAGCTTAAATCCCAAGTAATATGACTGAAAACGAGTTGGAAAGGACAAGGAGGTCCAGTGATCGGGATGCTAGCTATGACTCAGTGAAATGTGAGGCACTGCTGAGAAAATGTTGACCATCTGTTTCAAGGCAACGTGTTGTTTTCCTTTCTGGATTTCAGATCCCGCCCCCTGGAGAACACGGGCCAGACGGTGTTGGTTGTTGGTGGTGTCCAGTGGCTCAATTCCAATCACCTACAGATTATTCACAAGGTTTTGAAGAGGTGAGTTTCTGCAACAAGAATTGTCATTAGTATTTGGAGTTAAAAAGAAAAGTCACCGTTGAGGTAATTAAATTTTATCGAGATTTTTGTGGAAAGGACAGCTTGAAGTTTAGAACTCCGGTTTAAAATGTTTCAAAATACTTTTTGTATCCATCACCAGAGGGCTCTTCAGTATCCACATTTATATTTTCTACAGGTAAAAACACACCCACTGACACATAAAACTCTGTCCACAAAAAAAAAAAAAAAAAAAAAACCTAAAATATGCCAAATCTATAAAATGAGAATTTAGTCTTATATGCCAATTATCACATCCTAAAAGAATTCCATTGTATTTGTTTATGTAAGCACAAATACCAAGAAATGTAATCAAAGTTTATGACCTCAGAATTCTGATTATTTCTCAGGGAAAATTTACTCAATATCCTTGTGATCATCAAAACTTTGGGAATTGGATTTCATCTCCCAGTGGATGGATTGCATTTCTTGACACAGGTAGGCCCATTCCCTCTAGGCTACATGAACTTTATGGTTCCTGTAAGGATCTTTGTTGGTGTCTGAAAAAGGACCTACAAGGCATTATATAGTAGTCAGCCACCTTAGTAAAAATCAAAGGAGATAATGTACTTAAGGATTAGGATTTCAAATCCGTTATACTTATTCCTGGAAATAAGGAGACCATGTCCCATTAACACATTGTGAATAATGCTTTGAACTCCTAAGACAAGAAAGGGGATGCCATGCTATAAAAAATAATGAACTGAGGGGTGGATGAGAGAGATTCATCTTTAAGTATCCCATTACCCCACCAACATTTCATACACCTTGAAAGACTCATGCTGAAACCACAAATGAAACTGTCAGTATCAATGAGTACTTTGGGAAAGGGTGGCTTTTTTGAAGATGATTTCTGACTGATTGCTTTAAAAAAAAAGTCTTTGAAGTAGTATCATTAGTTTTATCTTTGCTTGGATATTCAGAAAGGGGAAGAGTTAGAGGCCTCTGACCAGTTCTTATAGAAAAGCACTGAATAGAAGTCTAAGAAAAGGAAAGAAAAGGAAAAAGAAAAAAGAAAAGAAAAGAAAGGCAATATCTGTAAGTAAGAGAAGCAGCAGCACTTGTTCGAGCAAGGAGAGTTCAAGGGCAGGCAGGACTGCATGCCTTTGCTCTAGGGAGCTCAGGGGAGATGGGAAGCTGTCCATTTACTGTATAAATTGAATGAGGGCCGATGCGGGGCTCGATCCCAGGACCCTGAGATCATGACCTGAGCCGAAGGCAGAGGCTTTAACCCACTGAGCCACCCAGGCGCCCCAACTTTGTGTTATTTTAATTGCTCTTTTATAATGAACACTTTAATACAAATCACATTCCTGATCTTTCACCAGTATTCTAAACCCCAGCTTCAGTTGTGAATTTAAAAATGGAAGTATGTATTCTGAATCAAGATTTCTTGAAGTCTGTACATCATCCCCATTCCTTTTGTTCCTTAATATCCTGGATCTTCTCATACAAGATGTGGACATCTGAGTCGGGTGTGAGGATATGTGAGAGGGTGAGGGAAGGTGACTAGAAACTGCTCACTGGAGACAGAGTGACAGAGCAAAGAAGAGGTCTCTCTATTAATTTGAATTTATGATATGAAGTGGGAAACAATTACATCTAACCTTTTATGCGTCCAATAAATATTTGCCTACTCTATGGGAAGGACGGGGTATACGTGTGTGTGGAATAATTATTTGCTCTCATGGCGTGTTCGGTCTAGTGGGCAAGACACAAATAACAAATTATCACCAAACGGTGAAAGGTATGAAGGAAACAACCAGGGATGACATGGATGACAGTGGGGATACAGAATCGTTCCAGAGTCTCAAGAAGGCCTTGCTGAGACCTCAAACGCAAAAAGATGCTCTCCAGGACAAATTAGAAGGAGAGCATTCCCAGCAGAGATAATAGCGTTTTTACCCACCCTAAAGTGTGATGGACTGAGAGAAGCCGGTGAGAAGGGAGATGGTGGAATGAGGCGAGGTCAGATGGAGGGACACAGGTCAGGTACAGGAGTCAATACCTTGTAAGAAGAAGCTAGAAGATCACTTTGTAGTGTGCACCTGTTGAATTGTCGTGTTTTACAGCTGAAACTTGTATAATGTTATGTACCAATTTTACCTCCATAAAAAGAGAGCACATGTATGTGTGCATGAGAGAGAGAGAGAGAGAGGAGGGAGGGGAAGGAGAGGGGAAGAGGGAGGGATGGCAGGGAGGGAGGAAGGGAGGAAGGAAGGAAAAACTAAATGAAAATGAGTGTGCTCTGACCTGCTTGAGTAGAGGAGAAAGGAAGAGAGATTCCAGAGAGCTAAACTGCTGTTCTCCACTGCGCGTGTCAGACTAGAGAAAACATTGCTTAGTACTGAACATGCGTCTATAATATTCACTGCAGTGAGATGGTACCTACTTTTATAAACATGTGAACATGTTTTGAATAAAATATATGTATTTAATTCCATGTCTGTAGTAAATGTGCTTTGAAGTGAAATTCATCTGTTAACATTCTCCTCAAATATTTCCCATTTTTTTTTCACACTGATGGTTTTTTCACTTGATATCTTATCTTACAGTCTGTTTTTAATGAGTCAACAACACACAGGTGTATTTTTTAAGGTAAAACTTGCATCCATTTCTTTAAAAAATGGCAGAGCAATAATATCAGTGGCAGTATTAATGCAGTAATGAATATCAATGCCAAAATAAAGGTTAAATTGTCATTAGAATTTATATTCATCGCTCAATGCAAGTAGTTACTTCCAGCACAAACAACTGTTGATAAGTCAAAACCACAAGAAGGGTAAAAGTTATTTGCAAAAGTTATTTGGCACAAAAAATAATCTTGTTTTTTTAGATTTTATTACTATAGGTCAGGCTCATTACAGCTAATTTTTACTATTTTAATGCAGGATTGTGGTTTGCTGATTCACCCAGAGGAAACCTGTGGGTTACAGCCTATTTCCTCTGACTACATTGAAGCCATTTCACAGCCCGAACTAAAGATCTGTCCATCTGGCGACACAACAGGTGACTATTACTCTGGATATCACTTCTTCTCAAAAATCCTCTAATACAGAGACATATCTACTTAGTCAAACTATCCTTATACAAAGAAAAAATCAAGGTACTGCATGACTTTTTCATTGGTGTGAACGGTAACACATCTAATTAATCTGAATGCGTTGCTTTAGTATGTGAACTATTTTGATGCACCAGAATCTTCTTTTCTTCACCCTCTGCTCTTTGCCTGGTTAATCCGTATTCATGTACAGATATCGACCAAAGAGTCACTTGTACCAGAAAGCCTTTCTTGAGCCCCTGCTTTATTTCTTTATTGTATATTTTCATAGCACCCTGTGCCTTTCTTCCATGACCATTGCCACAATCATTTAAATGTTAAGTATGTAAATAATTCTTCGAGGTCAGTTTTCCCAGATTGCCAGCTGTCTGAGGACAAGGAGTCTGACTTGTTCACACTCTGTCAATTCACTTAGCACCATAATTTCTGCAGAGAAGGGACAAAGTAAATATCTGCTGGCTATTTTGGGAACCAAAGAACTGCTTAAGGGAACAAGTGTAGGTTTAAATCATTTATTAAAAAAATCATTGAGAATGAGTCTCCCATATACTGTGCATTAATTAACAGAGGCAGGAAAATCATTATGTCAAATCGAAATTACAGTGTTGAACCCTGCCTAATTCTAGAGCAGACCGGGAATGAGACACTTTGGTGCCACTGCCCACATTCCCTGTTTCTCTCCTTCCCCAGTGTTCTTCTTTCGGTGGAGACTACTGGGGTTCAGCGAAAGCTGGGACTAAAATTACCTCCAAAGGGATAAGGGGAGCAGGGGGGCGTCTTCTCTGAGATTCCTGGTTGTCCCTCTGGCCTCTTGACCCCAAGCCTCCCTTCATCTAAAGAGTCTGAGAAAACACTCAGGAACTTTTCTACCCTTGCCATGAACTTCACACCACAACTTGAATGGGAAATGAGTTTCACAAATGGGCAGTACAAATTGCAATTTGCCATGCACAGTTAACAAACGTGGGCATATCCCCGTTCTTGAACATGTGTTCTAAATAATGAATTACAGCCGGCGCACAGGGAGGGATTTACCCATCATGGCATGTCAGGTGGTGTAGGTTACGACTCAACTAAATGAGATATAGGCTCTTACATACAAAGGAGACACCAATGTGTCTAGTTAAGGATTTTTTTTATCAGATGACATTTTATGAGAATCATAAAACAACTTAATTCCATTCCTCCTGCTGAACCAAGTCAAAAGTTCTCCAACAAAAGTCAGAGAGTACTGAGTTTCCTCAAGAAGTGGCACCTTTTTCTATTTATTAAATTTGCTGTAACTTATGTGCCAGGCCCCGTCACAAAGCTGCCTCTGTGCCTGGTTCTTTTTTCTTTTTTTAAAAGATTTTTAAATTTATTTATTTGACAGACAGAGATCACAAGTAGGCAGAGAGGCAGGCAGAGAGAGAGAGGAGGAGGCAGGCTCCCCACTGAGCAGAGAGCCCAATGCAGGGCTCCATCCCAGGACCCCAGGATCACAACCTGATCCAAAGGCAGAGGCTTTAACCCACTGAGCCACCCAGGTGCCCTCTGTGCCTGGTTCTTAACAGGAGGGACTGCCTTCCAGCAGGCAACTTCTGGTACCTTGAATAGCTAGGCTTCTTCACAGAAGACCCCAAAATTGACTCCCCAGGCAAGTCCATGTCCTTAGCCTGACAGTACTGGGCCTCTAAATCTGGCCCTCCCTGTCTCCCAGGTCCTCCCAGCTTCTTGGTTTCACTTCATGCCCACAATACACCTGCATGATTCCACACTCTGATCCGTGCTGTCCCCTGAGGCTCAAAGTCTTCTTCCCATCCCAGCCCCGTTGTCCTGATGCTGTATTTTCCTCTCTAGGAAGCCTCTCCTTACCACCCCACCCCCAGACTGGCTTCTCTGCTGTGCTCCCAGAACACTTTGGGCACATATTCCCCTTAGCCCTTGCTTCATTATGTTTCTCTCTCTTTCGCTAACCCACAGTCTTCAGAGTGCAGTGATCCACGGGAGCAAGGGGAGCGGGTGGCATGGGACAGTCCACGGGGTGAAGCCAGTAAAGATGGAAATATACGTGCATTTATTTATATCTAACCATCCTTATTTTTGTTTTATAATGAACTTAATACATAGATACAGGCGTATAGGTACACACATTATTACAGAGTGTGTGTATTAATATAGTCAAAGGTGCATTACTGAGACTGCCTTCGATTGCGTGTTTCTCCAGAGCAAACAATGCCCCTTTTTCATCTTTCAATGTCTAAGATATGATTTAAAAATTGTTGCTGAACTAAAACCAAGATCCAAGTCCTCCTCCTTTCCGTGGAACACTGTGAGCAGTCAGGGCACGATCAGTCAGGGCTCACTGCCCCACCCATACAGTCCTAAAGACCCAAAG